AAACTGTGGTATATGTACACCATGGAATACTATGCAGCCATAAAGAAAGATGGAGACTTTACGTCTTTCATGTTTACATGGATGGAGCCGAAAAGTGTTTTTCTTAGCAAAGTATCACAAGACTGGAAGAAAAAGTATCCATTGTACACAGCCCTATTATGAAACTAATTTATAGCTTATGAAAGCTATAACCTAATTATAGCCTAAGAATATGGGTAGGGGAAGGGGAGGGGGTATGGGTGGAGGGAGGGTGATTGGAGGGATCACTTCTATGGTTTATCTTTACAAGGGTATAAGTGAATCTTTCTAAGAATAGAATATAAACAACACAGTATGAAAATGACATAAAGGCTATGTTAACCAGTTTGATGAAAATATTTCAAATTGTGTATGAAAACACACTGTACCCCATGATTGCATTAATGTACACAGCTATCATTTAATAAAAATGATTTACAAGAATGCAAAAATGCATAGAATGTTGTGGTGATTACTTTGAGAAAATATAGTAATATAGAAAATACAGTAAAATTTTACGGTTCTTAATTTTTGTGTATCTCAAAACTTTCAGTGTCTCATATTATTTTCTCTCTTATTCTCCGTCCTTATGCTTTTGTGCCTTTTTAAATAGAAGTCCAATTTTTTTTTTTTTTTTTTGGACAGGGCTGAGTTTGAACCCACCACCTCCAGCATATGGGGCTGGTGCCCTACTCCTTGAGCCACAGGTGCTGCCCCTATTATCTTTTTAGTAAGATTTGGAAGGAGTAGAGGCAAATGCTTGTATTGAATCTGGACTCTGAGAAATCTCAGCATGAATGCTTAAGTTATGTACTGTGAATAACCATCTTAAAGTAGGGGAGCAGTCACTGGCTGGAACATCCTACCTGAGATTTCACTGTATTTTCAGATGATGATTTCTGGTATCGAGCAGTTGTTCTGGAGACATCAGACACGGAGGTTAAGGTGCTCTATGCAGACTATGGAAACATGGAAACCTTGCCTCTTTCCCGCGTGCAGCCAATTGCTTCCAGCCACCTGGAACTTCCTTTCCAAATTATTAAATGTTCTCTTGAAGGTAGGACAATTAAGGACAATTAAGTTACTTTCCAGTTTGGATGTCTGTGGGACTTTTTTAACCTTATGCTTCATAGCTCTAAGTCTGAACAAATGGATATTTCAGGTAACTGCTCAGAATCAAACAGGGTTTTCAGAGAAATGTCATATTCCTCATTTAATTCTTAAGAAAGCCTTATTCAGTTAGTCTCCCTTTGTTTAGCCGTTTCAGAGTGTGGAGGTTCAGAGATTCAGGAAGTGGCCAGGCCAGGGTGTGGACCAGGTCATCTGACCTCTCATCTGGGGTCTTTCTGCCTTGTCACAGCTCTCTTTAGGGACTAGGCACGTTTAAGTGACACCACTTTTGGCTGTCTCACTATATATACTGAGTCCGTATATTCACCTGTTCAGTTGGAATTTGAATAAACTGAACTGTAATACCTACGGTGGCTTTTTATTGTTATTCCTGATTTCTTTACACAGAGGCCCTTGCAGATAATACTGATTGCCTCATAGTCCACTTTGGGTTTTGACTCAGAGTTGGAAAATTATCTTCATGATTGCTTGTTTTTTCCTTGGAATATATGAGGGCTGACACTGTGTTATGTTCCCTAGACTGAGATTAGTTCTTGATGGCTTATTGGTGACCAAAAAATGTTTATTGAGTAAATTTTTTTTTAATGTAACTGTAGTGGTCATCAAAGCATAATTAAATTAATGGCTAAAATCAGTAAGCCTTTGTTTATTTTCCTAGATAAAAGATCGAAATATTATCATTTTTAAAGGTACTTGAAGACTGTTATGTTCTTTTTTTTCCCAGGACTAATGGAATTGAATGGAAGCTCCTCTCAATTGATAATAGTGCTACTAAAAAATTTTATGTTGAATCAGAATGTAATGCTTTCTGTGAAAGGAGTTACTAAGAACGTCCATACAGTGTCAGTTGAGAAATGTTCTGAGAATGGTACTGTCAGTGTCGCTGATAAGCTCGTGGCGTCTGGTCTGGCAAAAAACATCACGTCTACAAAGCAAAGTGTTTTAAATAAAGGTATTTTTTAAGTGTAATTAATAACAGATGTAAAGTGTAATGAATAACAGATAATCAGTATCTCAGGAAAGGCCTGTCCTTTCCTCACCCCCTGTGGCCACACGCCTCTCCTTCCTCTGTGATCCTGACCCCACTGCCAAGGAGCCACCTTGGTGGCAGCAGTCCTCTGAGGCCATATCTTCCTGAGATCAGACTCAGCACCATCCCGTCACAGTCGATGGTGAGAGCTTTGGAAATGTCAAGCATTCTGCCTGCCCCTTCCAGTTTACTTTTGATCCTGATCAAAATGAGAACACCTTATATTTTTTGAGGTTAGATCTTCCTGGTGCTTCATAAGATGTGTGTTTGGCAGGCCTGCCCTCAATCAAAAAGGATTCCATGTATGATAGACAAAGGACCCTACACCTTGGCGCTGTGGGTGTTAACTCGGTCAAATCCAGGTCACAGCAGTAGAGAGCATCAAAGCCCAAAGGAATTGATCAAGTTCTTTGCAGTTGGAGCCCATGCCCAAGGGGCAGATCTACAGTTCGACTCCAAGTTTCTCTTATTTACCTTGTGTGTTATCTAATAGCTATTTTGTATTTGCTTTTAGAAAAGATGCATAGAATGAACTGCTGCTGTGCAGAGTTACAGAAGCAGGTAGGTGAAATTTCCCCTGAGTGAAGTGATACTCCCGGCATTTTCAGAAGTTAATATGCTATTTCTTTTTCACCTGTAGGTTGAAAAACATGAACAGATTCTTCTCTTCCTCTTAAACAATCCAACAAATCAAAATAAATTTATCGAAATGAAAAAACTGTTAAAAAGTTAAGTAAGTTCAATTTGATGTTTTTGCCACTTCTGTTGTCACTAGTAGGACTTCTCCAGTTACATTGTCAGGATAGATCTGATGGAGTATAACCCCTGGAGAGGTTGTACTTTATTTTGTGATCTGACCATCTCAGGTTTGCTTATAAATGTTATACTGTCTGCCTAGGTTTGATCTGACCATTTTCCTTTGACACTGCTAATGGAACTGAGCCCAGTGGTGTTCTGGTTGTGTCAGCCTCTGCTTATTGTTCGATTTTTGAGAATGCTTATGTTATTGATATGTGGAGGGAATTGTAAAAATTGCAGGGAGGTCAAGTTTAGCTTCAATTTTTTTTGTCTAGATGTGAAATGAACTCAGATCTCACTCGTGCACACTGCTGTAAATGTGTTGAGCACTTTTTATGAGGGGTATCAGAGGGACCAAGAATGGAAAGTGGGCTTCACCAATGATATGTTTTATTTCAAAACAAAACGTACTCCCCTTTTGGCTGTGGCAATTCTGGTGTTTAAAGAACATATTGGTGAGTTTTAAACCAGTAGTTCCCTGTTCCTTTTTTACTGTTTGGGATCCTTTGTCTTAAGATGACTCTCAGAAATTACTTTATGATCAGTAGCCAGTTAGAATTTCTGACGAAGATGAAGTAAGTTGTCCTCCTTACTACCACTTAGAGTTGATATCAGTTCCAGCCAAAAGCAAAGGAACTTTGATTTACTTCACACGCATGCTTTTGTTGACTAATGTGCGCTTTATTTTCGACCGTTTGGAAGTAACCCAGAGGGCCTATTGCGAATCTTTCACGGGCATAGTAATTCTGAAGCAGGAAACAACTGTGTTAAAACAGATTTTCCATGTGATAATGTGCTGTTTCTTCTTTGTTTTTAAGAAAGTATAACTGAGTTTTAAGCAAAATGTCATTAGCAGCAGTCTTGATTCTTATGATTTATTTCATTTACAAGTTTGGGGTGGTTTTTGATAAATACTGCCTTCCAAGCGGCAGTTACAACTTTCAGTCCTTTCTGATACACTGTCTTAATGCTGACTGCTGTGTGTGCTTGAATTTAAAATCTTGAATGCAATGGCGATTTTAGTTTCGGAGATTAAGGAACGTGCAATGATGTGGACTTCCGGAATTTAGGCTTAGCACCCAGTCAGCATATTTTTAACCAAGATGGTTAACTTGTATGTGTTTTTTATCTGTGTCATAGCTTTTTTCATAAGCGTATTATGAGAGCATACACCTTTAAGATGAAGCGTTATTTTCTATTGTTTCATATTGAAGACAGGGCTCAGTAGCTTTAAAAAAAACTTGATTAAAAGCATAGTAGTTGAACGGGCTTTTCTCCCATAGGAATGAATAGATGCTGTCTACATACTAATACCATGTATTTGGGTAGTACCTTACTTACAAAGCACTTTTACATCTAGGCACATAGTTAGTCTTCACAATACCTTTGAAAGGAACATAGACCCCATTTTATAAATGAGGAGGCTGAGGCTCAGAGAGGTTATTTACATGGCTGCCCCAAATCATAGGCACAGTCTGGAAACTTAACAGCAAAGTTCTCTCTACACCCTTTGCTGTCTCTTGTATGCTATCTTACCACGTCTTTTTAGATTAGATTGTTTCGGCTCAGCGCCTGTGGCTCAAGTGGCTAAGGCACCAGCCACATACACCTAAGGTGGTGGGTTCGAATCCCCAGCCCGGGCCCGCCAAACAACAATGATGGCTGCAACCAAAAAATGTCCAGGCGTTGTGGCGGGCGCCTGTAGTCCCAGCTACTTGGGAGGCTGAGACAGGAGACTCGCTTGAGCCCAGGAGTTGGAGGTTGCTGTGAGCGTGATGCCATGGCACTCTACCCAGGGGGATAGCTTGAGGCTCCGTCTCAAAAAAAAAAAAAAAAATAATTAGATTGTTTCTAGAGAGCATGGAACTAGGGGGTGATATTATTAGAAAAAAACTCACATACGTGGTTGCTTAATTGTTTAAGCAGACCTCCTTCATCATGGTGAAAATAACAGTTGAACTCTCTCCTTTAAATTCTTCCTAGAGATAGAGGAAATTTATTTTAAAAGACATTTTTTCATCCCCTTTAGAGAAATTTATTTTAAATTGTTAATGTAAAATTTTATGCTGAAAGTGGGAGTGTTGTGGTGATAAGAACTTAAAACCCTCTGTCTGCTATTGCTTAAGAATGATACTTTCATCTATTGCTTAAAAATGATACTTTAACTAACCCACAAGTTAATGTCAACTGTTTTTTATATGTGAAGGAGAGTGCTAATAGCTGTATTTTATATTTGTGAGGGGGCAGTCTAAACAGCTGTGTTTAACATTTAGCACTGGTATGGCAGTTCATTTTTTTTTTAACTGACAGATCTGACTTAAATGTGTATTTTTAGTTAAAAGTGAATGGTTGGTTTGCTTGCACTTAAAATAGAAATTAAGAACCATAGTGATTGAGTCTTTGTATAAGGCGTAATGATAGCTGATTTTTCTCTTTCAGAAACAGTCTCTCTTGGAGATAAACACTTAATGAGCAAGGAAACAGCGAAGGCTAGCCTTAGTAGAGCAAGTACAGCAGCCTGTGTTTCTGTTTATGGGGACCTTCTCTTTGTCTGGTTTTTCTTTAACGACCTCTGTGCCTCCATTTGCGCTTTTTGCTTTTTTCTTGCCTCCCATTCTTCTCTTAGGTTGGTTGGTTTTATTTTTCTCCTCCTAAATTCCTCCCACCAAAGATTCATACCAAATTTGTGGAACTACTAGGAAGGAATACATAGAGATTTTCTACTGTGTGTGTATATATATATATATATATATATAAACTTTTTTTTTTTTTTTTTTGCAGTTTTTGGCCGGGGCTGGGCTTGAACCCACCACCTTCGGCATATGGCGTCAGCGCCCTACTCCTTTGAGCCACAGGCGCTGCCCATATATAACTTTTCATTACTTAAAGGTACTGAAGAAAAATGTGGCTCCATGTTAAGATTGGATACCTCGAGTTAGCCAGGTAGACAAGTTTTATTATTTTCTGTATGTTTGAAATGTTTCCTGATAAAATCTTCCCTGCATTGCCTGTCATCATCTGCCTCCTCCATACCAGGAATGTTGTTTGCTTCCTCGCCCCTCCTGTGCACTCTGAAGTCACTGGCTTCTTTCTCTCCTTCTTTGATTAGATCACTTGTCTTTTGGTCTCTGGGCACACAGAGTCTGTCCTTGAGCTGTGTACCACTCCAACAAGAGAAAGAATTCCTGCTGTCAATGTCCTTTCAAATCTATAGCCAAGATTTTCATTGTAGGTAGAATTGACTGCTGAAGCACAAATACAGTTATCAATTTAAGTTAAAGAAAACCAGGTTAGAATACATTTTTTTTTCTTAAAGCATATAAAATAATCTTAGATTCTCCTAAACTTATATGACGTGTGGAATTATGGGCCAGCTGACTTTCTTGCCAGCCTCGGTTTCTCTGTGGGAAGTTTTCCATGGTTTAAGTCTCAGACTCTGACAAGTGAAGACGATGTCACCAACTCAAAACAGTTACTTAAGACATTGTTTTGTTTTGCTTTGTTTCTTCTGGTAATGTGTGTCAGCTAATCTGTTAGATTAAAGGGAATTTTTCCATATGTAAAAAGTTGTTTAAACATTGATGTGCTTCTATTAGATAAAAGTTTGTGCTGCATTGCCCAATAAAATTCTTTCATCTGTCAGCCAGCTTTACCCGTGTGCTCATTGCCGGCATTTTGCAGATTTCCTTTCCTTACCCGTACCTGGACCGCTAGATGCTTAGTATGTCCATTCTGCCTGCTCCATCCCGACCACAGAGAGAATGCACATGAAGTCTGTTGAGTCACAACATTGCCCTTTTTATTAAGGAAAATCAAGAAAGGTACATTAGGTATGTTAAAAAAATAAGCCAAAATGTCTCTTCAGATTTCAACATTTTATCACATGAATAGGTACTAGAAATTTGAGTAAAAACTTGTAATTAAATAGAATCTAGTAGTATTTGCTGATTCAGCTGTTTGCCTCATTCCCCCAAAGAGACTAATATCTATATTCTCACAATAGGGATGTGGGTTAATATCTTATGGATTTGACATACTAGACCACCAGGCTAGGTATAAGTAGGTTTAAGAAGTTTTATATTGTAATACAAGGTCTGACAAGTAAGTTTGCAAACTTGCCACCATGTCCTTACATTGGAAGCCCTGTACAAAGAACTAGGTAAGGATTCATAACCTTGGTGTGTCAGTGTTTCACAGCTGTGTTCACATCGATGTGTGGCAATGTTGGTGGCCAGTACCAAGCAGATCTGATGAAAACATTTCAAAAATTTGTCAAATTGTGCATCAAAAGCATCAGCTGACTGTGAGAAGTGTGGCAGACCAAGTAGACATCAGTAGAGAAACAGGAAAATCTTAACTGAAAATCTTACCATGAAAAGGGTGTGTGCAAACATGGACCCGAAGGAGCTCACTGGTGAACAAAATCAAAAGGAAATCGAAGTTTGCCAAGACCTTTTGGAGAGGCAAGATGATGTTTTGAGCAGTTTCATCACTCTTTGCTGATGAAATATGGAAATACCAACATGACCTTGAAATTAAGTGTCCATGTGCACAGTGGAATCAGCCAGTTCTCCATGGCCAAAAAAGTCAAAACGATATTGCTAACCCCTTTTGGTATCAGAGGGATTGTTTGTTATGAATTCATACCAAATGGACAGTTGACCAAGTTTATATTCTTAGAAGTGCTGAAAAGGCTGTGTGAAAAAGCTAGATGAAAACAACCTGTACTTTTCACCACCAACTCGTGGCTCTTGCGTCGTGACAGTGCACCAGCTCACACAACACTGTCTGTAAGGGAATTTGTAGCCAGCAAAAAAATGACTGTTTGGGAACCTTCTCCCTACTCACCTGATCTGGACTCCCAGTGACTTTTTTCTTTACCCAAAGATAAAGGAAATATTGAACAATAAAGGAAATAATTAACATCAAGGTTAA